CCCGGGCGCTCCGGCACGGCTGTAACCTCAGGTGCTTGAAGTGGGGCTTTTCTGAGTGACCGGGCAATTCGGGGCTTTTCTGTGAAACGTGGAGACCGGGGGTTCACGGGGGTGTTTCTTCTCGAGATGGGCTGTCCGGTTCGCGTGCAGTAACGGGCTTGGGGCTCGCCTAGAAACGAAGAGAGCAGTGCCTGCTCCAAGGCTCCATTCCGTCTGCGTTTCCAAGGCACGGCGATAGCGAATTGTTTGTTTGCAGCCCGCGGCCGGGCGGTCCCGTTCCAGAAGTGTTAACGCTGACGTGCGAAACGCGGCCGAAGTCGTACAGAGCAACTTAAAAAAAGTCTGGTACTCTTCCCGTTTTACGTGAGCTTCGAAGTTTTAACACAAATACGGCTGTGAGTTGAGAAAAAAATTACTTAAAGTGCTGAAAGTTCCTTAAATTACTGGAAGTGCTAAGAACGGTCACCTTCGCTGAGCACAGCCCATTCTTGAAGGGATGTTGTTACAACTTCTTTCTGTTAGGAAGAAGATTATTCAGCTCTTGTTAAAGATAATTATTTTTTTATCTTTACTCTTCATGACGTCTAATCTATTCCACCAGTGGAGAATCTGCTTAAGCCGAAACCTGGAACTGAATTTTGGATTTGCAGTGACATTGGTTGATGGTGAAATTCGCTGCTGACTTCGTGAAGCGGGCTGTGCCCATTGGCTCAGGGAGAAACTTGCTCCCTCCCTTCTTGCCCTACTTCCTTGCAGCTTCCTCTGGATCCCTGCCTGCCTCTCCTGCTGGCATTCTTACTCGTGCTACTTTGTAGGAGGCTCGTCTTCCTGCAAAGTTCACAGTTACAGAGACTATCAGCTTAGGAAACTTCTGCCTTTACTACCTGAAGTAGCGTAGTGATGAAGCTTGGGAAGTCCACTGGAAACCATCACTGGCTCTCTATTTTGTGGCTCAGGAACCTCCTCTGCATGTAGAGAATTGGAGAGTGTGTTTGCTTATAGCATAGGATAAATGAATAGCAACATCTTCCAGAAATCCTACTCTCTGTGCTTAACAGATTTTTTTTTTTTTTTTTCATTTGGAAGCAGAGAGTCACATCTTTTTGCACTGATTTCCATTTATGGGAAGTGAACTCTTGCACAGAACAGACACAAATGTTAGTCTTAGGAAGGAGGACTTCAGTGCGGCTGAAAGTAAAGCATAGTTATGGCTCCTAACTATATATCAAACTTCCTAAGTAGATGTAGTGGCAGGTGATTTGATGATGCATGTACACTTCATCCTCTGTTCATGCATCAGTGATGTATACTTCAGACCAGTCACATTCACCAGGCTGAATGTGTCCGTCTGGTGACATCAGTCTTACCTTAGTGGAAAATGTTATATTTTATCTTCTCAAATACAGTAGTTGTAAAAACAAGAGAGTTCTGGCAAAGATGGCAGAATGTGTTTTCCAAAGTGAGACAAAAATAATCATCATCATCAAAGTTGGCTTTGTTCATTAGAGCTATAAGCATACGAAATATGTTTTATTTAAATTCATCGCTATATCGAATTCAATGGGCTTGTATTGTTTGTTTTGGGTAATTGGGGAAATTAAAACATTTCAATTAAAATATTTCAATGTTCGCTTGACTGCTAAACAATTATCATTGACATAAGAAAAAACTTAGTGTGAGAACAATCCTGTTTAAACTTATCCAGGATGTTTAAACGGTACTTTTAAGAATTCAAATTCTGTTTTGTATTTAAGCCTTATTTGTATTGATGCCTGTGCATCAAAAAAGCAGTTGGCTTACACTTGCTTCTGTTTCTACATTACATGATTGTAATTTTTTGTACTGTATTTTGCATACTAATTGATACTTATGTATTGGTTACACTTGTCCTTTTCCATTGGACTGAAACATGGAAAAAGTAAAGAACACCTATGTCAGTTGCTGCCTCTGCTCAGTATAACCTAAACTGTTCTAGATTCTCCTGAAGTGAAATTTGATAGCCTTCAACAGCACCTTAGTTCAATTGTTACCTTGCTACTCGGCGCTTGGTGTCCTAGTATGTAATGCCCTCAAGCCTGAAGATGAATCATGTAAAATAAGTATCATTTGCTCCATTAGTTTAATGGAGGTATGTGGAAAGGATTAACAAGAGCTACTGGATACACCTGGCTAAACAGCTTTTATGACAAATGGTTCTCCTGGAAGGACGTCACTATTCAAGAAGGACCTGGAGCTGCTGGAGCGTGTCCAGAGGAGGCCACGACGATGATCCGAGAGCTGGAGCACCTCTGCTATGGAGACAGGCTGAGAGAGTTGGGGCTGTTCAGCCTGGAGAAGAGAAGGCTCCGGGGTGATCTTATCGCAGCCTTCCAGTACCTAAAGGGGCTACAGGAAAGCTGGGGAGGGACTTTTTACAAGGGCGTGTAGTGATAGGACAAGGGGTAATGGATTTAAACTGGAAGAGGGCAGATTTAGTTTAGATAGAAGGAAGAAATTTTTCACTCTGAGGATGGTGAGGCACTGGAACAGGTTGCCCGGAGAAGCTGTGGCTACCCCGTCCCTGGAAGTGTTCAAGACCAGGTTGGATGAGGCTTTGGGCAACCTGGTGTAGTGGAGGGTGTCCCTGCCCATGGCAGGGGGGTTGGAACTGGATGATCTTTGAGGTCCCTTCCAACCCTAACCATTCTATGATTCTCTGTGCTCTGTGACCATGTATTGATCACTGGGAAGGCAGTATTCTTTATAGGCTGTGAAAACCCGAAGGCGACAGTTGTATGCAGAGCTGAAGAAGATGGTGGTTGTGCTGAAAGATCTGCTGTAGCAAAGTTGACTTGTCATTGTCTGGGTTCTTGCTCTGAGTTCTCCAGCGGCTGAAGCGCCTGAACATACGGTGTGTCTGTTTTTAGGACCCCTGTTGTGCATTCAGAAGTGCTGCATCTGCATAATGTGACATATGGTTATGATGCAAACAGGCTTTCAGAATGTATGGATGATTAACTTTGTACCCAGGCACTAGTGTGGACCTAGTACTATCTGTACCTCCTGCCGTTAGTTGTAGCATCTCTGCAAGTTATACACCATGTGCTGTAGTTTGAACGAGCAAAAATGCACTTGTGCTTTTGGTTGGAACAGTTTTGTACTGCTCGTTGGTCCTGCAGCAACCAAAACGGGTGTACTAGTGGTTATGACACTCTCGCCCAGAGCAAGTGCTATCAATTCCTGTTGGATGAGTGGTCGTAATTTATGAAAACAACTATTAAACATTTGTTCTTTAGCCTTTTTCATAGACTTGGTAGTCCAAGAAGTGTGGGTTTTTTCCTTTGTCTAAGAGCTGCTTAACTCTTACTCACAATGCCTCCTTCACCCCTTTCCTCCAAACACATTCCCATGACATTCAATTGGGAGAGAGCTACTCAGGGTAATTTGTTTCCAAGCTGGTCTGTGGTTTGCAGAGCCGTAGCAGGTGGCCTGCAGCTCCAGCAAAAAGTGAAACTTACACTGACTTCATATTTTGGATTGGAATGTTGATAATAACCCATGCTTTTTATTGCTGGGAAATGTCGAAACTGTGTAATGACAACCATGAATGAAACATGAGCAATGTCTTGTGAGAAACTTTGGGAGCCATGGAGTTGGAAAACACACAACATGCCTTTTGTTTTTCTTTTGGGTGCTTACTACATAGCTTGAGCTGTAAATCTGCTTTGAAATTTCTGCTACCTAATTACAGCAGTGGCCACATTGCAAAGTTCTGATCTGTTAGAACTTGAGGGTTGGACTAGGTGACTTTCAAAGGTCCTTTCCAAGCCAAGCTGTTCTATGATTCTGTGCTCTGTAACTCGGATTTTTCTGTCAGTGTGGGATGTGACCATGGATTTGTTTTATGCTAGCATTTTTTTTTTTTCTGAATCAGATATCACCTGTTTATTTCATACTAATTCTTAGGCTGGATCAAGTATTTTCTGGACCCAGCATTCCTTCCTTTCTGCAGCTGGCATACTAGCCGGTGCAAGCTGATGTGAAACTAGTACTGCTGAGAGCTCTTGTAGTGCAGATCATTGGTGCTTCCAGTCTTCAGTCTGAAAAGTTGTAGAAGGGTGCTGGACAGAGGGCTTGTGGGTTTTTACATAAAAAATACGTGTATATATATGCAGACACGCATATAAAAAAATTCTATATATGTATGTATACACACACACAGAACTTTGTGTATATTGCTTCTTAATAGTAACCCAACCAACCTATTGTGAGTTGTTTTATTAAGCCTACAGAGGTCATCTGTCCTTTCTAACACATGCCTGCTATGACTGTGGACCCCATTTAGTAGCAAGCATTGATAAAATTGAATAAAATGAAGACCCTGGGGCCTATTTAGAGGCAAAGACTAATATCTTAGTTCTGTCACATCATATATGTTTCCAAGAGCCTGAGAAGCACAAGAAGCTATTGAAATTTGGGTTTACCTGTTCTGAGTACATAAAGTTTTCTCTAAGTGGCTGCTAGTAGCTTAAGTACTTCACAGAAAGAGAAATAAAAGCCCAGATCAGTGTCGCTGACCTTATGGGGAGAAGGGCTTGTGCTACTCCCTTTATTTGCCTTTTTTCACATTCTTAGAGCTGTTGAATAGCAGAAGAGTGTTCTTACTTTCCCACTACAAAACTGCTCGCCTTATCCACCATTAGATATTCATTAGGAAATCTCAGTTGAAGAGCACGGAACTATTGTAGGAAGTACAGAAATTTTTGCTATTCTGAAAACTCACATTTGGGAAATGAGTGTATTCATTGCAAATAATTATTCTTTCAGATATATCAAACTGCAAAATGGCTTATGTGCACTTTTGATTTCGGATTTGAATTACTTGGATGGTGCCCCAGCTGCTTTATCTTCAGAGGAGGAGGAGGAAGACAATGACGATGATGAATCTGATGAGGAAAGTGATGAAGATGATGACTCTGGAGCTGAGATCGAAGATGGTAGAGAAGGTTTTGATGATGAGGACTGTGATGAGGGGAATGAGAGTGAGGACAATGATGGAGATAATGAGGATTTCAATGATCCTGATGACAGTGAATTAGAAGAGCTAGCTGAAAAGGAAGAGGCAAGAAAGAGAGGCTGTACAGAAAAGCAGGTATGTACTTAAAGCTGTAGGGTGGAAGAATATAGAGAGCACTTTCTTGTGCTCTGAAACTTTGTGATTAGGTATTCAGACTGGACCGTCTTTTTATCATGCCTGTCCTGATTGATTTATATTACACTTCTGTCACTTTCCTGAAGTATTTCTTGAAACAGCTTTTACTGAGAGTGTTGTATTTTCTCTAGTCTGCAGCAGCCCTCTGCGTTGCTGTTGGCAGCTTCTCTGATCCGGAAGATCTGCCTGGATTAGCACACTTCCTGGAACATAGTATGTATCTGCTCCTATTTCATCTTCTCCAGCTTCCATGCAAAAGGAGTGCACTATCTAGCACTCATTTTCTGTCTGACTACAGAAAATTCACTATGAATTTCTGTGGTATTTCAGTATCATGTCCTATTTCAGCCATCCCAGAATTTATTTTCATTAGTTAAATAAACTTGTGATTTTGTACAAATACTGACTTAGGAAGGAACTCTTAATATGGGAGGTGTCTCATACCCTTTGGCAGGCTATACATTAACGTATAGTGACATTCTTTGTTGTCTATTCAGTATGAGGGGAAGCGTGTTACCTATGGCTTCATAAACTAGGCTGGAGCTACAGACCTTTCTGTCTCCAGTAAAGGATGATGAATTAGCGATACAGGCGCAGAAAGCACATGAAGTTTCTGACCAGATGTATCTTAAAACGCTACTCGTGACTGATTGAGGCCAGTCATGCCTAGAAAGGCACTATTATTTCCAGTCTATTCGGGCTTTCTGCTAAAGGCAGGTTATACTGGTTATTGGGCAGATTATGTGGTCTGTTGCTACTTGACAGTTAGCCTGTGCATGGGAACTGTGGGTAGCTGTAGGTAACACTGTGCTGAAGAAGGGTTATTATAGTTGTAATTAGGAATAACAATTTAATGTCATCTTGGTAATTTTGCTGATTTTTGTTCCAGTGGTTTTTATGGGCAGTTTGAAGTATCCAGATGAGAACGGGTTTGATGCGTTTCTGAAGAAACATGGGGGCAGTGACAACGCTTCAACTGACTGCGAGCGGACAGTCTTCCAGTTTGATGTGCAGAGGAAGTACTTCAAAGAAGCACTCGATAGGTAACTTCGTATAAATGGTGATTAGGTGTTACCAAATGTTTGCATGTGCCTCGGGAGGTTGGGTATAGCTGTCCAGTTCTTCATTTTGTGGTGATTAAGGCAGTTGCTGAACTTCCATAGGTACTCCTACTGCCACAGAGGATATTGAACATAAGAGATATGATTTCCCTTTGGATAGCTTACTATTTTTTGAGATAGTGCCTGTGTAGCTACTGTGTGATTACTTAGGATTCACATGTAAGTCTTAATGCACATAGCTTTTTGATTGTTTTACCACCCTTGAACTCGTAACATTGATGACAGGAGAAATTTTATGCGGTGTGACAACTGTTCAGAGGGGAAGTGCTCCCCGAATCCCAGTGATTCATCCTTTGAAATATCTGTTCTGTTAGAGTTAGTGTGGTGGTTTTTTGTTTTTGTGGTTTTTTTTTTGGTTCCAAGTCTAATTCATCAAGTGGGTGGAAGGTCAGCCTTGAAGGATATGGTACAATGTGTCTCAGAAGGATATGTTTAACCCGACCCAGGTTATTCAGTCAAGTATATATCTTTTCCCAGAAACTACTTAACTTGCTCTTTTTTGCTGTGGGATATGTTAGTACAACAGAGCTTCATCTGTTGGTATGGTTTTCTTCAGTGAGAGGAAATTTCTTGTTCACAGGGGTGTCACCTCAGTATTCTTGATGCTGTAAAGTATCTCAGGAGGAGAGTAGACTCCACTGGGAGTTTACTTTGGTGTCATCACAGCAATGTATTTTGACCAAGAGCAACCGTTTGCACATTTTACCAAGTATTGCCTAGATTTTACTTTACTGGGTCAAATTCAGCTTTCATTTGTGGATTAGTGCAGGTTTCAGATGTTTGGAAGTGCAAAAGAATCAAAAAATATAATTGCAGTATGATACAACAGCTCACTTAGTGGAGGGGAAACAGATTTTGAGTTCTGTAGAACAGCATCTCATAAAAGAAGATAAATGGATGCTGCTGATGATTTCTCTTGTTCAAGCGCTTGTGAATTTAAAGAAATTGAAAGACGTCACCTTTCAATAGTGTTTAGCTCAATGGATCCTGTAGCCATAGAACTCTGTCAGCAGTGTGTTACTGTTCACCTTTTGCTTCAACAAGTTCAGTGCACCATCAAAAAAACTCGGCAAACGAAATAGAAATAATAGATCCTGTGGCAGCTTTCTGCAATGTCTCCATTCGTTGCAGGTTGTCCCTTTCCAGTGCTCAGCGCTCTATGGGTACAGGAGAAGATATGTATCTGGGTGACAACACTGACTTTTATAGTAGATAATAAAATCGTAATGGTTATAGAAACTTCTGTTTCAGGACATAAAACAAGAATTTGTTGCCTGGAGTTAGAAAGGAAGCTTTTCCTATGGTCATGTTGTTCCTAATGAACAACTGAGGATTCCCTCTGAGGCATCTGATACTGGTCCCTGTTAGAGCCAGGAACCAGACTAGATGGGTCACTTGTCTGATCTGTATGATTGTTCTTCAGATGTAAACACAGATCCTACTGTATCCATTAATATCATACCCTACTGTGTCCACCCAATTAATTCCTACTCTGTGGAGCACGGGACCCCTGCCATTTGGTTTCTGGTGCTATCACACAACTGGCTTTTATCTTTCCTTAAGACAGTAGAGTCAAGAATGGCATAATTTGTAGAAAGACAAGCAACATTATAAGCTAAAAATAGCAGATGTGGGTTTTAATTGTTGGTTTTTGCCCTAGCTTAATAGACACTGAAGAAAAGCATATGAATTTTTCTGTTTTGTAGGTGGGCACAGTTCTTCATTCACCCGCTGATGATCAGGGATGCAATAGACCGAGAAGTCGAGGCTGTAGACAGTGGTAAGAGTATCTTTTTCTGTGTGTTTAGCCCATCTTGTTAAAGAGATAACAGTGAACAACATGCTTATACCTCCAGCATAGTCCCAGTGCTCTCTCCAGTTCTCTGTGGAGTAAATACAGTAAGTCGACGTCATTGTGCTTGTCTCCTTATTCTGACACCTTAATAACTACAAATTTGCTTCACAGAAGCAAATTGAACCTGGCATAGAAGTGAATGGAGTGTTCACTTGATTTTTCTAGTATGTTATGAATATTTCCAGGCTGCCTATAAAACTTCACTGTCTTGAAAAAAAATGTTATTGGCAGATATACTAACTGGTTCAGATACGCATTCCAAGTCGTCTTCATCTGTCCTCTGACAAGGAAAACTGAGCGATTTGATCTATGAATTTAAATAAGCATCAGGATAAACAGGGACCTGTCGTTAAGGTGTGGTTTCTTCAACAGCTTGAGCCAATAAACAGGGACCTGTCGTTGAGTTAAGGTGTGGTTTCTTCAACAGCTTGAGCCAACTTACACCTTTGCTTGCACTGCCTTCATCACGCAGATCCACTCCTTCCCTTGTACTGGCACTGTAGTAACGAGCCTCCCAGTAAGCTGCATCGACTTGATGAACTAGCTGCAGACTAACTCAGCCAAAGTAATTATTTTACAGCTCTCCTGTGCATGTTTCTTATTATCAGCAAAACAGGAACAGGAAAATGCAGTTCGAGAGGGTGAAGTCTTGATTTTGACAGAATCCCATGTTTAGATTAGTGTAAACCGATTGTAAAACTGCATTTCTGGAAACTATCTTGCTCAGCTTTCAATTTCTTATTTCATTATTAGGCTAGAAGTTATTCTAAATGATATATGGGAGAAGCAGATTTGTAATTGTTCTCCAGCCCTTTCTGAAGGGCCTCACTGTACAATATTGATGGCCTTGTGTTCCCATTAAATTTATCGGATTGAGAGCATTCAGACAGGACAGGTTGCGGCTTTACATGCTTTCCCTCCTCATCCCTTTCCGTACACCTCAGCAATGAGCTACAGTTTTCCTCTTCTCTTGATGTATATTCATCACTGCTAGCAAGTCCTGTTTCTTATCCTGTTTAACTGCTTTGTCATACGTTAGAACGAAACCAATTTCAGTCTAATCTGTGTGGTATGTCTGCTTTTCAGTTTGGTCGAGGTTTTTGCTTTGTTTTGTTTTGTGGGAATGCAACCTCAAATTTTAATGCATGCCACTGCAAATTCTTTAAATTAACAGAGTATCAGCTAGCAAGACCCTCTGATGCAAACAGAAAGGAGATGCTATTTGGGAGTCTTGCCAGGCCTGGACATCCTATGAAGAAATTTTTTTGGGGTAAGTTTTGAATTTATGTTATAAGGTGGTGATAATACACTTGTAACCACTTAAAAGGTGCATTAACGTGAACTATCTTATCACAGCAGACACTAGCTTTGCTCTGAAGTATTAGAGCAATTACTCATTTTACAGTACAACGTTTGGGAGTAAAAGCAGCTGTCTGCTTCTTAAGATATTTTTCCTTTTAGTACTGCTTTTTGCTGATGTTCAAGCTAGGTTGCCTTAGGCATATAATCATGTAACTTTCTGTTAATGTAAAGGTGGTGCTCTCTGAGTCATCTCTGTCTTGCTGAAGCTTGTTTTTTGCTATTAAAATTTCCTGGAAAAACAAAGTATTTCTGGGTTTGTGTCTAAGGAGGCTTTTCAAAGTAAGTAATTCAGTGTTGAACTTGCAGAAGTAGACCTTCACAGCCATGTGAGTGGAGCAGAAGGGAAATTTGTCCTTCGTCTCCTGGACAATACAGAGTCCTAGCTCCCTCCTCACACTTGTGATGCCGGTGAGCATGTAAATTGCAGTGTGACGAGTAATAGAGTTAGCCAGCTTTGAAAGGAAGATAGTTTTATAAAGTTCTGTAGTGACATATACTGAAAATCATCTTTTCCTCTCTTTTCCCCTCCCCTATTCTGCAAGTTCTGTTGGTGAGGGAATAGCTGGCAACACACAGTGAGCTGGGCCCTACACAGTATGGGTGATCTGATAGTGCAAGAGGACCCTGTCCTCCCTTGTCTTAGAAATATCAACTGTTGTTAGAACAGGAACTAGAAATTGGAAGATACTAACTTTCAGTTAATGTTCCTTTAACTCTAAATTTCTGTTAGGTATTTTTAATGTGCTTATCCTGACTCGACTCAGTGCCAGAGGAGGAAGAGAAATTCTTGGTATATCTGGTCTTGACTTAACCAGTGTCTAGATAACTAACCAGCTTTTCATGTTTCCAGGTAATGCGGATACACTCAAACACGAGCCTAAAATGAATAATATTGATACCTACACCAGACTGAGGGACTTCTGGCAGCGCCATTATTCTGCTCACTATATGACTTTAGTTGTCCAATCTAAAGGTAACATCACGTGTTCCTTACAAACAGGCTCATTGCTGCTGGTGGTGTAATGCTTTTGGCATCAGTTCAGCTGTAGCCCAGGCCCTTTTTGTGGGTTGTCCAGTCCTGCAGGAGGTATTTATATGTAGATTTTAGCCTGTTTTCCAAAAGAAACTTGAGCAATTGTGCTGTGTTATTGTCATTCTGCCACTTCTTGTGAAACTTTTAACTGAAACTGTTGAGTAGGTTCCAAATTAACATAGAGTGTAAAATCTCAAAGATATATTTAAAAAAGAATCTTGTGGAACGTAGAGTCAGACCACTTAAATGACTCAATGCTGCTGGTTTGTCTGCCATCAACAGTAAACCTCCACAGAAAATAATGGGGAGATTGAGGCTGAGTCTCCCAGTTGTCTCGTTCTGTTTGGGGCTCTTTCAGAAGAGGTCTTAAAATAAAACACATTTCTCTGGGAAAAACAGAGCATATAAATTTTTTCCCTGTAGACTGAAAAATTCTATTCAAATGGAGTTGAGTTTCATTTCAGCAAAGAACTTCAGAGTGATGAGTTGTTTCTGCTGACAATAAAAGAAAGAAATTTCTTAGAAATTAAGCATGTAGTAGAGACCTGTGCTGAAAATAAATAGTTGTGTGCATTGAAGTTAGGTTTGTGCTTACAGGTTTTGTTGGATGCTAAAACTGATTACAGTTCTCATCTGTAAAATGGAGATGGTAGTAACAGAGATGGTAGTTCTTTTCTTCTCCTCTGCTTTTCTGTCTAGATTGTAAAATTCTTAGGGCATTGAATGCCTCTTGAATAATTGTTTATATAGCAATGGATTGTAATATTATTTCTTTTGGTGATTGGGAAGAAAAGCATGAGGACTGATAGCAAGCTTGGTCAACTTTGTATTTCTGTCTCTGTTAAAACAAAAGAAACTGTGAGTCTTGCTCTGTTCCCCGCCCCTTTATTTCCTTGTTGTTGTTTAGCATATGCTACATCACTTTTGGAATACAGAATGCTAGCTTAAACTAGCAGTCTCTGATTGCTCATTTAAAAAAAATTAATCTGCTAGTTCTTGACACATTTCCTTCAGGAAAGAGGATGGGGAAAAGGAGTTCTTAACACTGTAGGACTGCATTTAGGTGTCAGAACTGTGTTGTTCTGGACATAGAGGGATGGAATGAGTCTAGCAAGTACTGGTGGTTTTGTAGATCCCTAAGTTGGTAATGCCTTTTCACAGTCACACCAGATACTGCTGAACTTTAAATCCCAGTTGTATCAGCCTGAGATTTCAGCAGTATATACAAAACCAGAGCTGTGACCAAAAATATAGTCTAGTTAATTAAGAATTGGCTCAAACCAACAGCTTTGAAGCTTATAATTTAGAAATTTGCAATTTTAAAATATACTGACTTACAGCCTCTTCAAAATTACTGAGTTGGTGAGATAAGATAAAGAATTTGTCTTAGATCTTCAGGAAATTACATTTCTGGCTTTCTTGTTTCCTCTTCTTATTAGAAACACTGGATACATTGGAAAAGTGGGTGACAGAAATCTTCTCTGAGATTCCAAATAAGTAAGATTGTTTTGATCCATAAAGGCATTACAAATTATAAAATTATCTGTTCTTAAAATGACCGTTTTTTTAAAAAAATCTCTTATTAGAGAAGATAAGGAAATTAACATTTGTTAATTAACATCCTTATCCATTAAAAAATGGGCAACTTCAGAAGTTACAGATTGGCATTTCTTGTTTCAGGAAGACTTTGTTTACACTTAACAATTATTTAGCCTGCAACCTGGGTGGTGCCAACTTGCAGCAGTGTTTGCTTACTGTGTACTGATACCTTGATTTTATGATAAATCATTCAAACCTAGATTATCATTTTACATTTCTCATCTTTACTTTCTGTAAAAAATAATTAGCAGCAAAATAAATTCAGACCATATCTTGAATTTAAGTGTCATCCTTAGGGTGGCAACTGGTTAGAACTTGGATCTTTTTTTCAATAATCCACTCCAATGTGCTGTCTAAAAAGGGAGTTCTGCAAAAGCTGTACTCACCTGAAAAGCATTTTATTTCCCCTTTCATTTTCTGCTTTTGCAAGGTGTTTATTTCTGTGGTACATGGAAATGTGCTTGTGAAAGTGTAATGCCATACGGAGACACATTGTCTCTGCCAACCCCTGTCCTTCTCATTCCTCCTTCCCCACAAGACAGTCCATCAGGATTCTGTGAATCCAGGGCCAACTCAGGAGGTTGTTTACTGTCTTGGCTTTCCTTTCCTGTGTTAGGAAAGCAAGCTTTTTATTGCTACCACCTTGAGCAGAAGGAGGGGGAAGAGTTGATGTGGTATCTAAACCTTGGGTAATTACTCTGTTTTGTGGGCAGAGTGTGGGTGAATCCCAGGTTGCCTTCCACTTTGGGCTGGGTGGATCCTGGGCTGCACCCTTTGTTAAGGGCCACTTTCTGGTTGTCTGGTGTACCGCCTCTGTCGCATCAGAGCTATGGGTGCTTGTCTTGTGATTATCTCAGCGTAGCCTTGAATCCTTGCCATTAACATCACACTTTAATCTTGCTTTTAAGTGGTTTACCCAAACCCAGCTTTGGCCACCTGACTCAGCCTTTTGACACACCAGAATTTCACAAGCTTTACAGAGGTAAGTAAAATGGATTTATTTAAATGTTTTGAATACATAGCTTCATATTTCCTCTGTGTGATCGGATACTTTGTAGAATAATTCTGTGTGGTTCTGAATAAATTTTCACCATTCTTTCTGCATTATGTTATGTACAATTTCTTATCTATGTCTAATAATGTGTATTTGTGTTCAATAAATGTATTTGTGTTCAGTTGTTCCAGTCAGGAAAATTCACTCGTTGAGTATCACTTGGGCACTTCCACCACAAGAACAGTATTACAGGTATGGTGGTGCTGCATTTTGCTTCTATTATGTTTATGTTGTGAATAATCTATTGACTTGCACAACAAACCAAAAAACCTCGTTGATTTGTATTACAGATTACTTTGGTTCGGCTGGAGGAACATTTTTTAAATGAATTAAACTGATGCAGTTACGGTTCCTTTTATAAATTGAGTGGAATTGGTACGCAGCTGATTTAAAGTCATTCCTCACTGACTCAGATCAGTCATTACGTTCTGAACTCCCACATTTTAGCTTCTTATTCTAATGCTGCCCGAAAATGCAAAACTTGCTGTGAAGAAACAGGCAGTGTATGTTTTTGTCATTTGTCTAGTGATTTGAGTTCTTTCTGTGAAATCTATTATCTCCTGGCATTTAATGTCCTTCAAATTTTCTTTTAGGGTGAAGCCTCTTCATTATATTTCCTGGTTGGTGGGGCATGAAGGCAAAGGCAGTGTTCTTTCTTTCCTTAGGAAAAAGTATGTATTTTTTAAGCATAGTTATTCAATGCTTTGCTATCATTAAAATACAGGCAAGCTCTATTTTGTGTATATATATTTTATTATATGTATAAAATCAGACCATGTCTGCCTTTTTCCATCAGCATTTTGTAGTGATATTCTTTAAATCGATGATAGACCCAAGTAAGACATTAGTCGTTTCTGGCCTGTGATCCATGGATCAGGAGTGTCTGTGACTGATCTTTAAGATAATCTCCAAAATGTAACTTAGCTTTTTCACTGTGTTTCTTAAATTCTGTATCCTGAGGTTCCTGTGTTGGACAAGCTTTGTGTAGACTGTAAATGGATTGAAAGCCATGGAAGTAAAACTATGATTTGCTAGTTGTAACTAAACTCAAATAAAGCTGAAAAGAGTAATCAATGAGTACCTTTAACTCTTCCATAGATTTTGGGCTCTTGCATTATATGGAGGAAATGCTGAGACGGGATTTGAACAGAACTCCACTTACTCCATCTTCAGCATTTCTGTGACTTTGACTGATGAAGGTTACAAGCACTTCTATGAGGTATGGTTTACTGCAACTTGTTTTTCTTACTTGTTTTCCTAATATTTGGAAAAATTAATCTGTTCCTTTCTGTTTGCAGGTGGCCCATGTTGTGTTTCAGTATGTGAAGATGCTGCAGAAAAGGGGGCCAGATAAAAGGCAAGTATTTGCCACTACATTAGATATTTGCGAGCTTGTCCTTTTCCATTAGCCTTTTATTCGTAGTGTTTGCACTTTTTGTGGAGTTACTAGAGCATTAAACAGTGAGTCAGTAGTAAAGCTTGTCTGTGTGGGAAACATATCAGTTTAAAAAGTTTAAAAATGAATTTGCTAAATGTCTATGCTTGTTTCTTGGTGCCTTTAGTTAGATTTATTGTGATCTGATTTCTGATTTTAATAAGCTGAACTAGTATAGATGTAAGGTGCAGTTTTGCATTTATTTAAATAAATTTATTGAGCCAGATCTCTGGAAGTCAGGACTGTGGTGTTCTGCTGTTAGCCTTTACGTTAATTTGGTATCAGATTTTGACTCTTTGCAGTCAAGTCTCTTCCTCTTTGGAAAATAGCAGAACTTTCTGCCAATTGTGGAATGTGCTTTTGGATGGAAGGGAGGTGTATGTAATACTGGCTTCTATGTCTTGTACCTGACTGAATCACTGAACTCACCCTTGATGCCTTTCCTAGAAGACTGCTTTTTTTCAGATTCTCGATAAGCGTTGTGCAATAATGGAGGAAATCCACTTTTATTCTCTTCTCCCTCTTTTACAGAATATGGGAAGAAATACAGAAGATTGAAGCTAATGAATTTCACTACCAGGAACAGGTATTCATCCACTGTTTTGTGTTGATATAGGTAAACCATAAAAAGGATTCCTTTTTAATTTTGAAACACATTTTCAAAGTTCTGTTCAACCAGAAACAGATTATGTACTTAATGAGGCTGTATTTTTCTGAAATAATTTGTATTTAGGCAGAGAAATATTATGACTTTTTCCTTATCAGAATTAAATGTTACTTTTTTCATTCTCTTCCTGGTAGGTAGACTCTTTCAGTTTTAATCATTAGGCCCTTGTGTGTGAAATTCCATGCCCAATAATAGTGCTCTGCAAATTGTTTGAGGCTTTTCAGTATTTTTACCTAATTTCATTTTTTTAAAACTGTTTTGGCACTGCTGATTTCTGGGAATAGATGAGCAATGTTGTGTGAAAAGTGGGACTTGCTGGTGACCTGGCCTCACAAAGACTAGGATGCTAATGACCCCCTTGTCTGCTGTTACAACATTCCAGAGTTAAATATGGTTTTGTGTCGAGTCTTCCTTGGCTTACTGAAATAGCAGTTAGAAAAAAATGTTACTTATGTTCCCTTCTTTATCTTTAATAAAAATAATTTTGATAATTTGACAAGCCTTACTTCAATGACTTTCTTACTTTCACTGCATTTAGCCATGTTCTGTTTCTTATTAACTTGGTTTTCTTGAATGGCACTAGAATTTCGTTTTGGGAAAACAGATCCATATACTACATATATGGCTTGCAAGTATCACTGAAGTTTGTTGGTTTCTTTAAGATACACAGATGCAGGAAGGAGCCAAAAAAAAGGAATAGGAAATATTGAAGGTGGAGTTTTTTTCTTTCCAGATGCTCCAAGTCTTTTCAGACACATCTTAAGACATGCCAGTCTGCTGTGAGCATCGGGATGTTAGAAATGTCATTTTTAGCAAATCCTTGCATCTGTAGCTCTGCCTTCAAAATAGCATATGGAGGATATTGAGTGTCTAGAGTGGCCTTTGAATAACAGAAGTGGATTTGCAAGTGAGACAGACAGCAAGAACTGCTGCCAACAACCCGAAGTGATAGATAACAGAGCGGTGGATTTCTTTGGTAGGAACAAGTTTACACTGATTTACAAGTGCATTTTTTAATTGTCAAGTGGTGATTCTTTTAGTGGAATACAACTTTTATGAATTTGTTAGCAAAGTTCAGCTTTTACAAGATTACAACAGACTGTCTTCTAACAAAAGCTTTCCCCAGAACAGTAGAGAAGAACTAAAAATCTATGAAGGATGGCTATTTAGCATATGGGACATAGCAGGAATAAAAGTATCTGTTGCCCTACTTAGTTTTATGATTCTGTCTTTAATAATTTCCAACAGAAGTTGTCAAACTTGGAAGTTTGACTTTTTTATCCAAACGAAGCTATTTAGTCCTGAAAGGTTCTTACTAGTCGTCTTGGTTCTTTTTAGTACTCCCAGCTAGAATTTTATGTTCCCCAAAACTGTTACTGCTCTAATAGACTATGTACTTCCCAGTATCAAGCCAGGTGCGATAGAAAAGATCTGAGTTACACTGGGGAAATACCCACTGTTAAGAGACCTGCCTTTTTGCCCAGTCGATTTGGAGTGATCATTAAGAGATTACTGACAGTGCAGGGATTTAACTCAGAATGCAAAGAACTGAGGGGTATATATATATATATATATGTGCTTTTGTGAGAGGATTGTGCATCTTGGGGACAGATGAATGTGTCTTGGTACACCACTCTTCTGGGTGATGGAAAGAGCTGGTACGTGGCCATCCTAAAGAATAATGGTCACAGAGGCATAAGAGGTTTTGGGATAAGCAGTTAGTGCCCCAAGAAAGGTTTAGTGTTTCTTCAGAGGTACAGTCTCTTAAGAAATTCTTGGTCATATTTTCCACTACATTTATAAGACACGGATGCGTCAAACTCGCCTCTTTTCAGGCGAACTGTAGTCTGTATCTGGACCCAGGATCTGTATGGTATGATGCTGCCTGGTTCAAAAAGAACAAATAGCACTCAGCAAGAAGCTCTCCACTAGGCAGTCTTACACAGCTAAAAGACAATCTATACTTTCTGTCCAAGTAAGAGAATTTCTTCCTCCTCACGCTGCACCTCATGGCAGAGAACTTGGGAAAGGAGCAGAATCAGAGATACTCATGCAGCAGCAGTTCCTCAACTTGCTCTTTCCAGCTTCCAGATCACTTTAAGTCTTGAATTGTGCAACTCTGCTGGTGTTCCCTGGAGCAGAGGAGCGCATTCTACTGGGTCTTTAACCTAGGGGTTTAAGGACTGTAAACGCATGCTCAAGGCCATTTCTTCTATAAAGATGATGTCTGATATTTCGGGATTTTGGGCATTAGATATGGTTATGAAATATATTTAGTTTAATAATCGAAACTAAATGCCATAACAAGCACAGCATGCAACTCATGGTCAACATACCTGACCAGTCAAGCTCTTCTCAGAATAGAAAATTGATATTTTAGTTTTCTGATTATTTGAAAAATAGCTTTATCTATTTGCTTCCAGACAGATCCAGTTGACTATGTGGAAAGCCTCTGTGAGAACATGCAGTTGTTTCCAAAAGAGGATTTTCTGACAGGAGATGAGCTCTTGTTTGAATACAAGCCTGAGGTAAATATTCTTTGAACTCTGATTACATGTTTTGATGTAAGGAAAACACAGGTATACTGTGTAATGTAGGCACATATATAGGCATATAATTAAGCATCATACAGGCACAGGTTTTGCATTAATTGAATCACTCTTATTATACTCAGAAAGCAAATCTCCTTTTTTGTAAGCTTGTTGTGTCTTGTTCTCCCTATGTTCAGACTAAGAAATCGTTGCCAGGTCAGGCAGAGCCAGAGTTGCATTTGAACTGAAATATTGTCTTGAACTTGTAGATCATTGCTGATGCCCTTAACCAGCTCAGTCCTCAGAGAGCCAACCTCGTTTTGCTGTCTGCTGCCAATGAAGGCCAATGTCATCTAAAAGAGCGGTGGTTTGGAACGCAATACAGTGTGGAAGGTAAAACAGCAGCAGAAACTTAGAGACTGTCTGATGCATGCGTTAAGAGATATTAAAAGAGTGACAAAATACAACCACGTGGAAGTAGGG